AAAAAAAAAAAAAAAAAAAAAAAAAAAAAAAAAAAAAAAAAAAAAAAAAAAAAAAAAAGGATATATATTAATATATAGTATATACCACACATTGCGGAGAACATTTGCAACTCCATTTGAGATATATACCACGCACTGCAGAGAATGTTCGTGAATCCATTTGAGATATATACCGCAGATTGCAGAGAATCGTTGCACCTCAGTTTTGGATTCAAGGGCTGCACAACGACCGATATATCAACCGATGGCATTGCAACCATGCTCTGCCAGCAGTTTGAGAGGAGAGCATTTGCTACTCCCTTTGTGTTGTACTCCACGTTGCATGTTGTACATACAAACCCACGCATTTGGGGGAGGGGGGAGGGGGGGGAGGAGGGAGTAGTTTTGGATTTTGTATCCATCTTGCAACATAGCCTGAAATCATAGCAGTAGCACCATGGTATCGAAAACACAGACAGGAAAGGTGAGTGGATGGGAACGGTGATGAATCAACTTATGATTGATAGTGAATAGGGAGCAAGGCAGTTTCCGCATTCTTATGAACAAGCCTGGACAGCAACCCCAAGCCTTGAACAGTGGCCTCCATTGCCAGGATTATGAACCATTCATCAGGCTTCCCTACCTCGTGCTCTCAAGAACATAGAAGCAGAATGTGAATAGTTCCCAATATAGAATAGCAGGGAATAGAATGATAAGGATTTAATGACACTTGATGGTGGGACTTGGGGTTTAGACAGTATTGACAACAGTTGCAGCCTCTCAGACCTTTCTTGTTGAAGCATGGTTTATCTGACAGGATCTTATAGTAGTCCTGAGAGGAAAGGTGTAAGCAGGGCAAGCTGACAGTCAATCCTCCACATTGTGGGAGCAATCAATGCTGATCAGGGTTCCTTCGGCCAGACGGAAGGAAGCGTGAGAGTGTTCCTTGATGTATCATTTTATTCTGACTTGCCGGTGGAATAGGAACCGGACTGATGCGGACTGACGCGGCGACTCCAAACGCGCCGCTGGGGTAGCGCGCTAAACATCGTGCATCGAACCGGGGACATTGGCTGGAGGGGTGTGTCAAAGACGCAACGCCATCGCCATTACCCATCCTCGCCCCAATTTGGGGTGGGGGGAGGGGGGCAAGCTAGACTAATCAACGCGCATCGTTGCTGCTATGTCAGTTAGCGGGAGATATAGAAGAACCGGCAACATCACTCGTCGCACTGAGGGAGCTGTACACCATCGTCCGTCTTCGCCCCAGTTTGGGGTGGGGGGAGGAGGGTGTCATTGTGCATCGGAGGTACGGCGTTGTTTTGTGAAAAGTCTACAAGACGAGGCAACACCACTCAACGCGCATCGTAGCTGCAATGTCGGCTAGAGGAAGGTCTTGAGGAAGCGACAACATCTCTCACTGTGACGTCGGCTAACGGGAGGACTCAAAGACGCGACAACATTGCTCATTCATTGCAAATCTTGTCTTCGCATAGAGAAAAGTTCGCTGTTCATCGTGTGCGTATCACCGCTCACCGAGGGTGAGTTCGAGTTTGCATCTTGTCTTCTCATAGTGAAAAGTTCGCTGTTCATCGTGTGCGTATCACCGCTCACCGCGGGTGTTTCGTTGCTGCTCGTCGGGTGTGAATAGCTGCTCATAGCGAGCATTCTCGACCTCTTATAGACCGTAGGTTGCTGATCATAGCATGCAAGTCGCTTCTCATCTCATCGACCGCGCATCACTCTCTGCTCACCTAGAGTAATCTTGATTTCTCATTGAGTGTATGTCACTGCTAATCGGATGTTAATCGCTGCTCCTAGTGAGCAAACTCGACATCTTATAGAATGTAGGTTACTGATCATCACATACAAGTAGCTTTTCATCTCATCGAGCGCGCATCAATTTCTGCTCATTTACAGTAATCTTGATTTCTCATCGAGGGTACGTCGCGGCTCATCGGGTGTTAATCGCTGCTCATAGCGAGCAATCTCGACTACTTATAGAATGTAGGTGACTGTTCATCGTATGCAAGTCGCTTCTCATTGTGTGCAACCTTGGATTCTCATAGAGAGTAAGTCGAGGCTTTACTTTTTCGGATCATGGCACTTCAGAGCCTCCTAGGATCGCCGTGAGAGTCATCTAGTTACCTAATACCTCAACGCCATCCCTGATAGCCGAGCAAATCGTTGAGCCACAGAACGCCGAGGGAATTGTCGAGTGGCCTGATTTTTTCCATCATATCTGACCGCCGAGAGAATAGTCGAGCGCCCGCCACGTCAGCGGTTCGCATCGTGGCACTTAAAAGCCATCTCGGATCTCTGGGAAAATCGTCGACCTCGGTTCGCTGAGACAATCGATGACCAGGCTAATATTTCAGCGCCATTTCTGAACGGCGGGAGAATCGGTGAGAATTAGCCACATCAATATTGGGGGGCGGCCTAAGACTGGAATGCTACTTCGGGTTGACTTCGCATTCGTCATAGCAGCGCTGTCTGAGGCAGTGGAGCCACAAAAATCATCACTTGTGTGTTGAAGGGTAAGCAAGCAAAGAACGAAAGGAGCCAGGTAAGAAATCCTTAGCACCTCATCAGTGTTGACAACAAAGCAAAAGGTGATCATTGCTGTTTTAGGAGGGATTGACGAACAGGAAAGTAGACAGGGGAACAAACCAAACATGGCAATGTCATATTCTGCGGCAGCCCAGAGGGCAATGAATGAAAGGGAGAAGTATGATTTCAATCAAAAGAAGGAAGGAATATCAGGGAATCAACCATCTCAGTCAGCATCGCAATCACGGACAAACATAAGAACGGGGGAATCGAAGCCACGGACATTGGGCCAAAAAGCAATGGAATTTTTACTCGACAAAATGCAAATCAAGTCAGATATCAAGGTGACGAGGGAAGTAATCAAGGGAGAGGGAGGGAAGGAAGAAGAGGTGGAAGTGTGGGAATACCCAGAAGAGGATATATAGTCACTTCGTGAGCTACATGAGAAACATGCGGTCATCTTCAATTTCTCAGGAAGAAGCAGGGACCTTTCCCTTAATGAGAAGAGAAGATGGGTGATGGAGAGGTTACGGGCAATGGAGAGCATTCCGGGAGGGGAACCTGATGTTTCGTATCATAAGAGGGGAAGGTTTCCAGTGATGATTGTGTGTGTGGACCAAGCTTACGCCCAGTACTTGCTATCGATCGGATCGTTAAAGTGCAAGGGAGCAGTGGTCACCATCCAGGCATGGAAACCACCAAGACCCCCACAGGCTGAGGCATCGAAACATAGGCAATCAATGATGAGGAATCATTTCTGGGTTCAATTCGATAATTTGTTGGAGGGGAATCATAGATTGGCTCCCTGCTAATCCAGATTTCCTTGCACCAAACCATGACTCTCGGGTTGCATGTCTGGAGGTTAAATCGGGCCCCTGCCAAAGTTTCCCGATCAATGGATTTTTACGAAGAGCGGGCAGACATCCTTCGGGACATCCGTTAAAATTGGAACGATACAGAGAAGATTAGCATGACCCCTGCGCAAGGATGACACGCATAAATCGAGAAATGCTCCAAATTAAAAAAAAAAAAAAAAAAAAAAAAGGAAGAGCGGGCAGAGGATAACTGTGTTTATATCATCCAAAAGGAATCCCTTCTGTTCCAAATGTAGGGGAAGAGGGCATATGGGACCTTTCTGTCCACAGGGGGCAGCAGGAGGGAAGCAGATTCCACTGTGTCAGTCTATGCTACAAGAATGTGAGAGTAAACCGGGAGTTTGGTATATTAATTCCCCTCAGTATAGGGGGTGGATTTTTTATGATAATCTGGACAACCCCAAATGGGTGTGGGTGTTGAAGAAAGATCCCACTATCAAACCAAACATATACCCCCCCTATGATAGCAGATGGAGGCAGACTGGAGCAAAGAGAATGGACGACAAGGAAACGGGGTACATCACGAAACCAATGTTGGATGACACAATCATGCAGGACGTGCAACAAAGATTGCAGCTCATGAATGACCTCCACACAGTCGGGAAGAACGCAGAAATGGCTTTTCTGGAAAATGAGGCGGCCAGGGCACAGCAACTGGAACAGCAGGTGGGAAAAGAGGGGACCTCGTTGGACATAGAGGAAGAACAGGGGGAAAATATGGAGTGTGGAGAAGGGGAAGGGGAGGGCATATGGAGTGTGGAGAAGGGGAAGGGGAGGGCACAGGTGGAAACAATCAACCCTTGAAAAGAAAGGAGACGTCGGGGTCAATAGATGAATCGGAAAAACATGAGGGAAGGGCGCAGCGTCTAAAAAGGCAGCACAGTGAAGCATCAATGACGCAGGACTCAGCGGCTGACACAAAGGAGGGAACCACTAACGGGACAGCGATGTCGGGAAGCACAGGTCAAGAAGGAGAAGACAAGGGAGGGTCTAAGGGAACTGCCACAACATCAGAATCCGATAAGGAAAGAGAGGAAAGAAGGAGGAGGATGCGTAATGTGGAAAACATGTCAGAGGAGGAAATATTGTAGGCGGAGGAAGATCAGAGAGATGGTTCAGAGGATATGGAATCCGGGGATTCATCAAATGAAGGAGGGGAGCAGGAGGGGTCAGAGGAGGAGGATAGTTCCATTGAACAATGGATTCAAGAAGTGGAACAGTTGGAATGGGGAAGGATGATTGAGTGTGAGATCAGGCTTGCACATCACAAACATTTGAGAAATCTCAAACAGGCAACACAGGTTGCGGAAGACATCACCTCACAAAACAGATTTGAGTTGCTAAAGAGGGAAGGTGAAATCAACGAATTTTACGCAGAACAGTATGCAAGGAAGGCTTGCTTGGACAAGACTGACATCCACATTCAGCATGACGAATATGCAAAGATTTTCCAATGGCCAAAGACGTATCACATCAAGGAGAGTAAGAGAGAAAACAAGAAAAGAAAGGTTCAGAAGGAGGAAGAACGGGGAAGTAATGTGGGACTAAGGGGGAGTTCGATGGATGGTCTGACAAAGGGAGCTGAACAAAAACTGAAAGAGGAAGAGGAGGAAGAAAAACGGGAATTGAACAGGCAAGTAGCGATACTGGTAGCCCAGGTTAATGTGCTAAAGGATGAGAATAAGGAATTGGATGAGGATACGGTGAATGTACAGAAAATTGCAAATGGTAACTGGAGAGAATTGAAGCAGCAGCAAGATTGGAAGCCACAAAAGGGATGAAGAGGAGAGTTCTTATGCCTTGCCACTGGAATGAAATAAACTCGGACTGGGAGGTGGCTATTCACCAGTACCTTCAATTGTTGACAACACAGGTAAGCACCTGTGAGGGTGAAGATCTGAAGAATTTGATAGGGGATGGAGTGCCTTCTCAAGCATATGTTTTGGGGGATAAGCGAGAGGAAGCTATGGAATTAGGAGAGGGAGGAGGAGATGAATCAGCAGTGGACTTCATACCGCTGCTCCTCCACATGCATGCAAACTCTGAACTCAGGGAAGGATTGATTTGGATGCCTTGGCAGGTGGTTGAAACCGTTCCCTACGGATTGTTCGGAGGGGAGATCACAACGGAATGGGCTGCTCGCTGCGCTGCAGTAGCAATTAGGGTGGACGCTTTTGATTGGAAACCGGAATTCCTGGAAAAGAGAATTTCGTTGGTATCCACAATGCTGGAAATCAACTTGCATGGATCATAAATCAAAGGGACGGTAAAAGACAGACATAGTAAAAACATAGGAGCCTCATGAAGGAAGGAGAGGAGGACAGGCCTAGGAAGCAGCTAAGGGTGGATAAAGGAAGCCTAACGCAGCCAGAGGTTAGGATAACTTCTTGGAATATAAATGGGATGGTTGGAATTTTGGAAAATCAAGATAAATGGCAGAATGTTTTGAATTATACGGATTGGTTCACCGCTTCATCGCTTGATTTCCTTTGCCTTCAAGAAACACATCTCAAAGAAACAATGGAGCATAGAGGTGTAAAAAACAAGGTGATTCAGCGACTTCAGAGAGTAAAGGACGCTTGGTGGGCACCGGCAGTTAGTCAACACTCGACGGGAGTGGCGATAATTCAGAATAAAAGGTCGGCAACAACAAGCAACATACACATCATAAACACTGCGGTAGATTAAGTGGAGGGAAGGTGGGTAAAAGTCAATTTCGAGCTACACGAGGAACCGTATACGCTGATTTCAGTAGACTGTCCCAACACCTTCCAACAACGAGTAGAGTTTATAAGTCGCCTCCAAGAATTTTTGGAAGTAGATAGGCATTTGATAATAGTAGGGGACTGGAATGCCACTTTGGACCCTAGCTTAGATAGACTATCAGGTGGAGTTAGATCGTGGGATGAGGGCATGTGTGAGGAAGCCCTGCCTATTCATAGATTGATGACTAGTATAGATCTGGTGGATCCCTATAGGCTCCACTACCCATACGAAAGGCAGTTCACTTACTTGAAGAGAAATCGCAGTCAACATGTGTCAGCTTCGAGAATAGACTACTTCTTAACATCGCCTAGTATAATAGGCATGATTCATTCGGTTAGTATAGGGGAATTACCCTATGGGACGGGATTAAACCATAAGCCAGTTCACTTGCACCTAGTGACAGATAAACAAGTTAAAAGAGGCAAGGGGTTCTACAAATTAAACAACTCCTTACTGAGAACGCAGGAAATGAGGAGGGCGGTGCTGCAGGTATGTCAAGATCATAATCCGGAAACACAATCGTTCCCAGAACTAGTAATGGCACTCTCAAAAGCTTCGGCAGGGGTAGCGAGGAGGTTAGCGGCTAGAAGAAAAGAAAGGGAGTTAGAGCTACAGCAAGCAATAAAACTAGCAAAGCGCAATATTTTAAATTCTCCAGGAAACGAAATATATGAAAGAGCGCTTGAAGCAGCAAGGGAGGAAATGGCGGAATGGCAACGATGGAGATCAAGGGGTCTGCAAATGAGGGCTAGAGTCAAGGAATGGGAAGAAGGGGAAAGAATGACTAAGTTTTTCTTCCAAAAAATAAAATCCAGAGGAAGAAACAATCTCATAGCTCAGCTCGACGGCCCAGGAGGCCCAATTTCAGACAAAGACAGAATCTTAGGGATAGCCTTTGATTTTTACAGTGATTTGTATCGGTCAAGAGAAGAGGAGTACCCGAGGAATCATGTGACAGAGGCACGGTCCAAATTCCTCAATCATCTGCAGACCACGATTTCACCGATTCAGGCTGCAAGATTGGACGCTCCTCTGACTCAAGAGGAATTATGGGAAGCATTACGGTCCATGACCCAAAACAAAACCCCAGGGAAGAACGGTCTCACTAAGGAGTTCTGGATGGAATTCTGGCCGATTTTGGGAGGCGAATACTTGGCCTTTCTAGAACAAGCATGGCAAGAGAGAGGAATAGGACGCGAATCAGCAACAGGAATAGTTACACTTCTATATAAAAAGGGATCCCCGACCGACATACGAAACTACAGACCAATAACTTTGCTAACCCTCACACACAAGATAGTAGCCAAGGCACTAGCCAATCGTTTATCGACTATTACAACCAATTGTTTTCATATAGATCAAACGGGTTTCATTCCGGGGCTATTTTGGGTAACGTTATGACTTTAGCGGAAACAATCCGGTACATAAGGGATAAAAAAATCAACGCAACAATTTTGTTTTTTGATTTCGAAAAAGCGTATGATCAGGTCAGCTCGTCTTTTCTATAGCAATGTATGGAAAAGATGGGGGTCGGCCCTAATTTTAGGAAATGGATAAGGGTTCTCTACAACCATGCACAGGGGCAGGTGCAGGTTAACGGCCATCTCTCTCCGACCTACGGGATGTCGAGGTCAGTGAGACAAGGAGACCCTCTGGCGGCTCCCATTTTCCTTTTCATAATGGAGGCAGTAGCATCCTTCCTCCGTAAGGATCCACCAATCCACAGGCTAACAGCACAGCCGGATCAACAAGGACATAGGGCTCATCTTCCTACTACAATCCTTTTCGCGGATGACTTAACAGTATTGATTAGAGCTTCAGACTCTTCATTTCAAGCGTTAACAAGGGCAATGGAAGCCTTTCAGCTAGCATCAGAGATGAAGGTTAATTGGCAAAAAACAATGGGCTGGTGGCTGACAGAACAATGGCAAGAAGATGCTTTTCCTCTCAACAGTCCAGAAGGTTTGCAGTGGATGACCCCTACGGTTCCGCTCAGATACCTTGGTATTAAAATAACAGAAGGGGGAACACACTATTCTATGGCAGCGGACTTAATGTCAAAGATTTTAACAAAACTAGGAGCATGGTGTTCGGTGTATACATCAATATATGGAAGGGCACTGATACTTAATGCTTCTTGTTTTTCCATGCTATGGTATGCTGGGTCTATTTGGTCTCCGCCAAAAGCAACAACAATCCAGTTAAGAAAAAGAGCGGCTTCATATCTATGGACAGCCAAGCCAAACACTGAACACTTCATATCCAAGGTCGCTTGGAAACATGTTACTAGAACTAAACTTCAGGGTGGACTTGGTATATTAGATCCAGACATCCAATTAAAGGCGCTTCAAACCAAATGGGTCACAAAGCTAATTTCTCAATCGAACCTTTCATGGACATCATTAGTGTTAGAAAAGATAAGACAAATAGCAAGGTACAAAACGCCAAGCAATATGTCAGGCCAGTTTTGGATAATGTGTGGTAATTGGGCAAAGGTTGACACCAGGGATGGTAGTATCGAAAGCCAGGAGGAGGAAACTCGGTCTCCCTCTTATTGGGTACAGCTCATAAAGTTGTGGAAGGAGATCTTCAGGGCAAGAGTCAAAGAACCTACAACAAGGGAAGAAGTGCTCAGACAACCATTATTTTGCAATGTGAGCATCAAAGACAGTCAAGGGAAACCACTCACACTATCAATAACTGACACGAGGTGGGGAAGATGGCTGGAACATGGAGTATGGCAGATCAAACATCTCTGGGAAGAAGGGGAAAGAAGATGGAAAACAGCCACAGAACTAAGGACACAACTGAAGGGATGTCACAAATTGTCGAAAAATCTGGGTTTGGTGAAGGGGGCCATACCACAAGCATGGGAACAGTTGTTGCTATCTGAAAAACAATGGGGCATGGGTGACTGGGCCACATGGGAAGACGACAGGGAACCTAAAGAGGTCTTTAGAATATGGGGCTTGGAGACCTCTAGGCCCGACTGGCTAATGGCGGAGAAGTTTGACATACTTCATCCTTTCAGCACCACTTCACAATTGGATATGGCCACCAAACATCTTTAAGCATCCTAAAACACTACTTACGGAAGGTGAGGGTAGAGTAGAGACAGAGGTTTTCACGATATATAGATCAACTGTACCAATTGAAGAACTGGAGGTGGACCTTGCAGAATGGGCATGGAACATCAGAAGTAGTCAAACACGAGTGTCAAGAAGAATCAATATTCTGCAGTACACCACGAGAATAGGGTACAGATTGAGGATTGGCTCCTATTCCATGACGCCCACTTTGCTCAAGCGATGGGAGAAGCGAGTGGGGGTCCCCACAGGTCAATTGTCAAAAATTCCATGGCCAAGAATAGTGGACATAAGGATGGGCCCAGTCAAGAGTATGCAGTGGCTAATAGCCCACGTTGCTCTCCCGGTTAACGTATGGCTCAACGAAAGAAGAAGTCACCGACAGCGAAGCGCGGATGGAGAATTATGTAGGGTATGCCAACAAGGAATACCAAAAACAATGTTGCATTGCTTATTGGAGTGTGAGGAAGCATCAGCGATGTGGGATGAAGCTAAGGACATCTGGTATCAAATGGTACGCAGTCCCTTCCCGGATTCTAAGATCACATTGCTGCTGGGCCAGAGGATTCCCAACCAGTGGAAGCCCTTTCAGAAACATATTTTCCAGTTAATACGCCAATACGCTCTTTGGACCATTTGGAAGCGTCGATGTCAAGTCACAATGGAAGGAACAATAATGCATAGACAGGAGGCTAGAGAGAATTTCCTTGCACTCATAGAAACACATCTCAAGGCTCAGTGGAAAGGGGTGAGAACTCAGTTACGACAACAACCACAACATGAGACAGACATCATGATCACATTCAAACGGAACATACTAGGGCAGGGAGCAGTAGCAGTCATCCAAGGAT